CTTCAGCCCAGTGCAGAAAAAGGTGGAATAAGAGGAGGAGTTCTAGGTAATCTGTCCCTCAGCCTTGAGTCGATGTATCCAGTCTATCAATCTTGACAAATGTGCAGCATATTCGCTGAGATGGAGCTTATATACTGACAAGAGGTGAGACAAATGGTTTTGAAAACCGGCAAGTTGAAGAGTGAGACACTTAAGTAACATATGAGAATCTTTATTGAAGAAACGTTTTGCCACACAGTGGCTTCATCAGTCTAATAAAAAACAGAAAGTTGTTAGGGGGGGGGAGAAGTTTGAGGTAATCAGTCCCTCAGCCTGGAATAGATGTGTTCAGTCCATCACTCTTGTAGGAAGTACAGCATAGGGCTAGAGAAGTGGCTCATATACTGCAGTCAGGTGAGTCGAAGCAGGAGGAGGCGGGATCATAGTGGAACCATCCACTAGTGTAAGTAGGTTTTCGTTCAAAGATTGGACAAATGTTGAAGAATTCCTTGTATCAAGATACCATGATGTTGCAGTGTCAGACAGATATGACTGATGAAACCACTGTATGTCGAAACGTTTCTTCAATAAAGAGTCCCATAGGTTGCTTAAGTGTCTCAATCTTCAACTTGTCGGTTTTCAAAATCATTTGTCACATCTGTCAGACACTGCAACATCATGGGATCTTGATACAAGGAATTCTTCAACACTTGTCCAATCTTAGGACGAAGACTTACTTACACTAGTGGATGGTACCACTACGACCCCGCCTCCTCCTGCTTCACCTCACCTGACTACAGTATATAAGCCACTTCTACGGCCCTATGCTGTATTTTCTACAAGATTGATGGACTGAACACATCGATTCCAGCCTGAGGGACTGATTAACTCGTTGTTTAGGTAAGACACATATGCAACAGTTAGGTATCTTTATTTCGAAACGTTTCGCCTACACAGTAGGCTTCTTCTACAGCAAAGTTGATAGAAGCAGAAGAGACTTGAAGACGATGTAATCAGTCCATCACTCTTAAAGTTTTGAGGTGGTCAGTCCCTAAGTCTGGAGAAGAGTATTGTTCCATTGTCTGGAATAATATGGAGTTGAAGTGATAGGATGGAGCCTTATATAGCGCCAGGAGGTGAGACGTAGGTCACTAGTAGAGTAAGAATGTAGACATTGAGAGGTCAGGTCCCTCTCAAATCCAGCCTTTCTCACTAGTAGAGGTTGTTGAAGTGGTTCCAAGTCTGTACCAAGATACCTTTGTGTTGCAGTGTCTGACAGAGTGAACAATAAAATGGTATAAAATACCGACAGGTTGTTTAGGTAAGACACATATGCAACAGTTAGGTATCTTTATTTCGAAACGTTTCGCCTACACAGTAGGCTTCTTCAGTCGAGTACAGCAAAGTTGATAAAAGCAGAAGAGACTTTGCTGTACTCGACTGAAGAAGCCTACTGTATAGGCGAAACGTTTCGAAATAAAGATACCTAACTGTTGCATATGTGTCTTACCTAAACAACCTGTCGGTATTTTATACCATTTTATTGTTCACTCTGTCAGACACTGCAACACAAAGTATCTTGGTACAGACTTGGAACACTTCACAACCTCTACTAGTGAGAAAGGCTGGATTTGAGAGGGACCTGACCTCTCAATGTCTACATTCTTACTCTACTAGTGACCTACGTCTCACTTCCTGCGCTATATAAGGCTCCATCTATCACTTCAACTCCTATTATTCCAGACAATGGAACAATACTCTTCTCCAGACTTAGGGACTGACCACCTCAAAACTTTAAGAGTGGTGGACTGATTACATCGTCTTCAAGTCTCTTCTGCTTCTATCAACTTTGCTGTAGAAGAAGCCTACTGTGTAGGCGAAACGTTTCGAAATAAAGATACCTAACTGTTGCATATGTGTCTTACCTAAACAACCTGTCGGTATTTTATACCATTTTATTGTTCACTGATTAACTTCTCTCCTAACAACTTTCTGCTTTGTATTGAACTGATGAAGCCACTGTGTGGCGAAACGTTTCCAGAATAAAGATACCCAAATGTTGCAAAAGTGTCTCATTTATCAACGTGTCAGTTTTGTAAACCATTTATTCACATGGGCCAGTAGGCTTCCTGCAGTGCTCCTTCCTTCTTCTATGTTCTTAATACAACTGTAGTATTAATAAGATTCCATTGAGAATATGCAGCCAAATTCTGTAATATGGACAAGAAAGCGACGGAAAATATCAAAAGAGATATATTACTAAGTAAATTAATAGTACCAACATTTTTCTTTTACCAATATAGGTTAAAATCACTGAGTGAACTCTGAAGTAGTGTCAGTGAAGCTGCTTATCATGGGCCTTTTCTACGCTATAGTCAGCTGCATCACTCACAGTATCGAGGAGCACGGTGAAAAAAATAGCAATAGGCAGTTTATGTACAGAAGAACTGCACATCTCTTGTGGATATATGTTGGTCATTGGACGAAAGTAATTGAAAATTACTTGACCTGTCAACATAAAACATTCAGGGATTTTGCTATATATATTACATTGTCTTGTATGTATAAATATAGCATTATGAAAGTGTTTAGAATTTGCTTATCTTTTC